AAGGAACATCTACTAGATATTAGTTAAATTATAAATATATCAATTCATGTGAATATTACTGCAAATTTTCATTTTTTCTGAATAGGTGGTGTCTATTTACTTGTGACCACTCAGTGTAGATACACGGCTATAAATAACAGTTAAAAATAATTAGAGAGCAACAACAGTAGACTACTGGTGATGCAGTCGAATTATGATTTTAATATGCGTCCATATACCTCCAAATTCTTTTAAACATAGTTTTTCCAAGCATAATATTTATTTTTTTCTACTTTACAGCGTATATAAACAATAAGAACTAAATCGGCAGAATTTATCACCACATTCATTGCCCTCTGCTGGCGGTTGTTCTGGTGTTTAAGTGATTAATTAATGGGTTGGTGTTGTGATCATTACGTAGTGGATGTTGTATAGGCAATATTTTGTTGCAATCACTTTCAACTTCAAGTGTCAGTTACTTTGTTAGTTAAAATGAGTGGTGGAGCACTTCAGGTAAAAAAGTAGAGTTTTTTGTGTTCTAACCTATTATTTTTATTTATCATAGTTTGTCAATATACTTAATTTCATTGTGAAATTAAATACGTTGATCTTGTTCTTTTACTAGTTTTTAGTATGTAACTATGTCATTGTCAGTATGTGGTATTTTCTCGTGATAACAACACCTAAAGTTATTAGTTATTTAACGTTTCTTGCAAGTTGTACTGTTTATGAAATAACTTAGTAAGACTAAATCAAGTAAGCCTAACTAGAACTGTAACTCAAATAAAGTAGCGGGAAATATATATTATATAATATAGCATCTTAATTCTTATATATTAAAAGCTCTACAAAGTCATATACTGATTTTAGTGAAATACGATAATAATAATAAATTAACATTATTAAAATTAAAAAGATTAAAAGAGATCCAGCGTGGGTTAACTAAGAAAACTATTGCCCTCATCATCAATTCATGATAAATATGTTGGTGTTTTTCTTATGGTTATACTTTACACTATAGTATAGAGTGCTATTTGTTATGAGGGTGACTGAAAGGGTGTGGACTTGGTGTATTTATATTTTCAAAAGGGTTTTGTTAAGGTGTCACACAGAAGATTACCTAAGAAAATTTCGTTGGAGGGGATTTGGGAAAGATGAGTTAATTGGATTGTGCTAAATTCTGAAACAGAAGAATCAAAGGACATAAGTTGAGGAGTTAGAAAAGACACTGGTTAGGCTCCAGTTAAGATAGTTTTATTACTCTAACAAGGTCATTGGCATGTGAAATGACTTTTCAACAGTAGTGGAGGGTGGCACTCTACAATAGTTTAAGAGGAGAGTCAGTATTTCCTAAAAATAAAGGGTTGCCTCAGTTATTGCCTTCTCTTGGGAGTGTGTGAGTAGGTGTGTAGGTATGGCCTTGAAGAAGGTCCAATTGGTCCCTGGTTGTCTTTTATTACCATTTTAGTACAGTCAAAATCTATTCAAATTATTAATTTAAATATTTAACAAATTTATAAAAAAGATGCCTAAAGACACTTGTTTGTCCATTTACTTTTAATGCTTACTTTTGAAACATAGACACTTAAAATCTCAACTGTTGGATTTAAAAAAATTCTTTATAATGTCAATGCTAAACCAGTTTTCTTAAATCCTATTACTATGGGTAAAGAACATAATTTGATTAATTGAAAGAAGCCACAGGTTCTGAACACATACCAAACATATTATTATTAAAATACTTGGTCATGTTCTAGCTTCTAGTCTCCATGATTTATATAAAAATTGTCTTGTAATGGGATATTATGCAAATGTTTTGAAGATAGTAAAATAATTCCTATCATTAACTCTGTATAAGTTACTTAACATAGTCACTATAGGATATAAACACTTTTTATCCTAATATTACGTACTCTAAAATAAGTTTAAGCATTTATCACACTTGAGAGATTTAAAACTGTTATCTCTAACTTTCTTCAACTTTTTTGCTGACTTTCTTAACTATCCTTTTGCTTTTAAGAACTAGTCAACTTTGGTTTGTTCTCTTCATAAACTCCTCTTTCAAGTCTGGCCATTGGAAAAACTCACCTTAGCTATGTCACCTTAAATACATTAGTAGTGAAATAAAACAATTAGAATTTGTCCAGTAGCTTGAGAGGTCATATACACACAGGCTGTGCTATTGTTCTGTGAAAATCTAACTAGAATATGCCATGCACTAAAGAAGAATAAGTTCATATGTGGTTATATAATTAACAACATTGAATTTAATTAATTCAATATGTAATTTAGTTATTTATAATGTCAGGTAGGTTTAATATATAACATTAAATTCCTTAAATAATAGTTACATTGGCCAAATATGAAGATGTAAATGTGAAAGTTTGCTTCAGTGCATAGTAATTCACCAAGTGAGGATATCCCACTGAGGACCTAAGGCAGAGTGGTCACATAGTTGGCCAAATATGAAGATGTAAATGTGAAAGTTTGCTGCAGTGCATACTAATTCACCAAGTGAGGATATCCCATTGAGGACCTAAGGCAGAGTGGTCACATAGAAACTTTTTGGTTCTCATATCACGCATAATTAAGATGTTTAGGAACTATTATGGTAAAAGTTATTACTAAATAAAAGCAATTTATCTATGTACTATATCTAACTATAGGCCTATCTTTGTATTATCTCCTTTTTCAAAGATTTTTGAAAAGTTAGTTTATACTAGATTGTAATCTTTTATAACAGTTGATGCTATTATAAGTCAATATCAATTTGGTTTTCATTTAACTCTTTACTGTTCTTGCAGTATCAGAAATTTGTGATAAATTACTAGAATCTTTTAATACTGTTAAAATGACTTGTGATGTCTTTTTAGACCAATCAAAGGCCTTTCAAGTTTCACGAAGTACAACATTATATTTTAAGGTGAATTATTATGGTATATAAGGTGTAGCTTTGAACATTTTCAAAATTTATCTAAATAAGAAAGCAATATACATCAATGCTTAATTTTGAATATGATAGTTTAAATATTACCTGTAGAGTTACACAGGGATCTACCACAGGACCACTTATGTCTTGTTTATATAAATGACAAGCTGAAATAATTGTCAACTGGCAGGGAATGTTTAAACTTAATTAAAACAATGCAAGTTTAACAGCAATCACATATTTAAAAGTAATAACTTGAATATAACTTTTTCTCGAAATTTTAAAATTATAACAAAGTTTTTCATAAACAACATTTGCAGTTTGCTTTCAATCTACCAAGAAATAAAGATTTTGAGGTGATCCCAACATTTAACACCCTACATATCATTGACCATGAGAAAAGCATGGTTGTTTGAGAAACAGTCTGACAACTTTCATTCTTTGACCTTGAATCCGTTTAGAATATTCAACATTGTCTAAAGCATTACCCTGCCAAGATCGATTCAATAGAGTGGGAGTAATTAACCAAAAGGCTTTACAACATAGAAATAGGGTTAAGTTCAATTTTGACCCCCTTAAGACATTCCTTACAGTTCATAGTGTTTATGTACAAATTTTGGTTGAGATTGGCCCAATATATATATATATAGATTTAGTAAATGTTAGTTCATTTCACATGCATGATTGATAATGATACTTTTAACTTATTTATATTCAGTAATATGTTAATCGATTTTCAACTAATAGTTAACAGGGAACTGTTTAACATAGATAAAAGTATGTTAGCAAATAAACTGTCAGTTAATTTTAACAAGACTAAATATATGATTAAAAAATAAATACAAGTCACTTTAAAACTAGGGGCATCAAATATCTGAGTCCACTACTGATAATAAATTAAACTGGAAAACATATAAAGATTACGGTTGAATGGAAGTTACCAGTCACATGGTAGTGTTAGTCACTGGGTAAGTCTGACATTACTAAGTTAATTAAGTAATATTAGGTTTGGTCAGTCTGGAAAATGGTATTGTCAAGTGCAGTTTGGAGACAGAACAGCTCAGACCAGTGAAAGTGACTGTGCAGTGTGCAACCCAAGTACACACTGTGTCTGTATTATAAATAATAAAGACTGTTAATTATGTCTTACACTCTATCTATTCTCTCTGTATTTCCTTTACATGAACTTGGTCTGTTTCAAAGAAATTCAGAACTATTCTAAAATATATATATCTTTTTTTGAATCTCTAATTAATCTGCAGACTTATCTTGTCACTCTTGGGGTAGGGGGAATCAGTTTTACCTGAAAATACCACATATCTACTTAGATACATTATTTCTTTAAGTCATTTGTCGATTTAAATTAGAGGAGTTAAATTATGGTATGAAATACCTAATAGTTTCAAACCGTCTAGTTTTTATAATTTAGGAAGGCTTCCAGGATCTGCTTAAATCATGTGAAGAAATTATATGTTAATATATATTTATTAAAGTTATTTCTAAATTCTCTTGTATATGTTACATTCAAGTTAATGTAGAGCTCAGTTAGAATTAATAATCATAATGGTGATTGACCAGATGACCAACTGATCTTTTTGCTGTCATCTAATTAAAATAATTAATGTTAACTATTCTATTCATCTTGCAGTTTCCTCATAAATGCAAATAAAAATGTCGTATTCTCCAAACCAAAAAATTCTAATTCATCATCACTTTTGTTTTCTACCTCTAACACATTAAGTACTTAAAATGTATTTTATTTTATATAGTCAATAAATTTTGTACAAAGATTTATCAAAACATCTATCTAAAAAAAAAAGTAATTTGATGGAAGTTGGATTCAAGCCTTCAACTTGCACCTAAAGACACGCCAGCATTCACCACCAGGTCATCCTAGGTTACTTGCAAGAAGAGTGGAGATTTTCTTGTATACTTAATAATGAAAGTGCCTAATGCAAAAACATCACATCAGGAAAACAATATTAAAAATGCACCTATGAAATATTCTCTGCATTTTTGGTTACAACTGTTGCTCAAATACCCGTATATGCCAGTTTTCTGCTCTTCTATATACTTTCACCAATATTGTAAGCTTTCAATTTAGTAATTAATATAGTTTTGCAATAACTTTTTAAGGGCATTACATTAGCAGGAGTGCCTTCATTTTAAACAAGCTCAATGAACAACCTTTCTTTTTAACTTGTATTTTTTTTTGGTAGTTGTCTTCGTGCTTCTTCAGTTTAATGTATACTCATGCACACAACTTTTTATGTATACATATGAATTGTTCTATGTTTGTTGTGCAGTGCTGAAGACTGGAGAATGTTTCAGTATCATAAAACGAGATGACATGGCCTTTCACCCGTGACTTGCACTCAAAATTTTATTGAACTACTATTTCATGAATT